GGGAGGGGGAGGGGGACTAAACTCCGAAGCCAACCTCAAGGCCCAAGCCGTTCCAGGGGAGGAGGGAGATGATGACAAGCAGAACCACGCCTAAACCAAATCACCCTTCCACAGGAAGCTCAAGGCCCGGGTGCAACCATACAAGTATGTGTGTGTGTGTGTGTGCGCGCTCCTAATCAGAGTGGATTCAAAACGCCACGCCGAAGAAGTCGTGGAGCGCCAGGGTAGGGCTTAACGAGTGGACGAGTTTGAGGGCTCAGGGTTAAGGTTTTCGGATCTAGCAAAGATTCGGGTCACTTGGCCGAAGTGGGAGTGCAAGTGGAAGCAAAGATTGTAGTTTCTCGGGACCTCCTGCCCTGCACAGCAGCTTCCAAAAACCTGATGCTTGCGAGATCTAGACGCGATTGAGCCCAAAAGAGGCCCCCCCACATCGTATTATCCAGAAACGGGTCTTTCAGCTACGAAAACCTTAAGCCAAACCAGAGGGGCCATTAGCCCACGACGGCCGTTGAAGTTCAGTGTGCCGCAAAGCAGAAGCGGCCATCGACGCCTCGACTTACCTGTCACAAAGGCAAAACAAGTTCAGAACCAGAGACACGACATGACTCGATATTCGTCCAAACTATGATCACAGCCTGAAGACTTTTAGCTCTGGTTGAAGGGCACTTTGCGTGTCGGGTTCGCTCTTAATTCCAGTCGCCTGTCTCCGACATTGTGTCGTCGGTTTGCTCCCGGAGGAAGTTCACCAAACCTCAATTTCAGAAAACGAAACAGGGGTCGAAATTCAGAAACCAATCCGAAAACGATTCTTCGGCCTTCTGCAACTACTCTGTGTTTCCTGGGGCCCCTGCTCATCAGCTGCTTGTGCCGGATCGCCTGCGAGGACTGCAAGGAGTCCTCCAGGGCAAGAGTAGGCACCTCCTGGTTTAGGGCTTATCTGGACCCTAAAGAACCTAGCTTTGTTATTAATGTAGGGGCAGATAGGGCTTAAGGCTTAGGATTTTTTGAAGGTTTACGATCTCGCAACTCGGACTCCGCCAGACGAGGTCTCTGTGTCCAACTAGATCAAGCAACTAGACTGCATGCGAACAATCACTAGGATTTCGGGTTTTAGGATTTAGGCCGCAGGGTTGCGAGTGTAGTGACAGAAAGATGGGCACCAGCTGAATCAATCACCATAGCAGCAAGCAAGGAAGAACAGGTGGCCGGTGGTTGCATGTCGAAACCAACATGGAAAAAGCCAGGCCTGCCTCGCCCTGAGGATGGATTTCAACCGAGTCCCAAGCCCCAACCCCGGCCGGCACAAATGCTTGCCCAGATATGTGTGAACATGTTCGAAAATGAGCCGTGTGTTACATCCATGTAGCAGTGGCTACACGAGGCCCAAGAAGCCACAACAAGGGGAATGGGGAACAGGCATCAATAGCCCAGAGAGCCCAATACCAATCACTAAGGAATATAACTGAAATTATTGGGGCCTTCAGCTTACTGCTGATGATCTAACTCCTGCATTACCTTGAGAACCCTAAACTATGCGAATTGTGGTTTAAATCTGCAACTGTATGGTCTGAAGTATTAACTCATTACTTGAGGGGTATTGGTCCATTGTCTATCTGGGAGCCAAAGCCTCTCTTCTTCTTGCTTCTCCCAAAGCTAGCTCCCACTTGGTGGTTTTATGTCTGAGCCTCTCGGCCGCTATATGCCGCTATGCGGACCAATGCATATTTACCTGCATCTATATAGCAGGAAGATGTTGGCAACACATCGTCACAAGGACCCTCTCAGCACTTGGAGGTTCATGGGTAGTTCTATGTGGTGTTATAAGTAGGGCAAATATAAATATAACCCAATGTTAGCAGACTTATAACCTAATAACCCCCTAAACCTTAAATCCCTGACCCTTAATCCCTATAATTCTCAACCCTAGAAGCCCTAAACCCTAAACCCTACACCCTAAACCCTACACCCTACACCCTACACCCTAAACCCTAGAAGTCCTACTTATAAGTACCCAGGAGCCTCTGAGTAGGTGCTCTGCAAGTGCGTCGTGCAGACGTGGAGAAAAGGGCCTGTAGGCCCGCATTGCACCTCGGGTTTAGCGGTTAAGGTTTAGGGTTTAGGGTTTAGGGTTTAGGGTTTCGGCTCTCACACTCGGACAATCCAGGCGAGGGTTTAGGGTTTAGGGTTTAGGGTTTGGTTGTCTGTTGAGCACTCGCAGCAGGCTAGAGTGCTTTCGGAGCAAAGTTAGAGTTTATAGGGGTTGATGATAACGATGAAGGTGATGAAGAGGGCATGGTAGTCATGATGATAAGGTATAATAACGAGAGTGAGGGTGGGGATATGCTGCTACCGAAGATGCAAGCGATACAAACGATCGTTGTGCTTAGTTTATTCTCTCTCTCTCTCTCTATCTCTCTATCTGGATTGTCGGGTGCTAAGACTGATGGCGATGTTGAGCCTGAAGGTAGACAAACTCATTCAGGTAACACAAACATACTGGCCGACGCTGATGACAGTGCCAGTGTCGAGGATATCGACAGGAACAAGCACAGCGAGAAAGACGAGGACAAGCAGGGAGGAGGGAGAAGAGTAGGAGGAGGCCGAGTGGGGCGACGACACGAGAAGCGCATCGAAAGGGGTGAGGAGGACGGCGGTATGGACGCGCCAACACGACTTCGTACATCAGTTGACGAGTTGTAAGCCAATATATCACTCAGGAAACAAAAGCCCCCTTAAATCCTAAACTCTAGTCAATCGCATGACTCTTACTTGGTCTTGATCTTGACACGATCGTGCCGGCACCTATGGCTGAGTCTTGAGACCATGCTTCGCCAACCCGTGTCAAAGAGGTCCAAAAGGATGCAAATTGAATTGCCAACCAGAACTCCAAGACGCCCTAAGGCCTGAACGCCTACACCCCTAAGGCATAAACCCTAAATCCCTAAAGCCCTAAACGCCTAAGAGCCCTCAGCGCGACCTTGGCATAGAGCGCACCCTTGGCGGAGAAGCGATCGAGACTTGTCCCAGGGTCGAAAGTGAGGGACGATTTGAAGACCTCAGTTGGTTGCCATAGCGGTTTCGGGTTTAGGGATTGGGATCTTATGTGTTGTTGACTCTCTAAGTTATTATGGAGCTTTACAGAGTTGACAGGGTTTAGTAGGGTGGATGACTTGCACACCCCAAGTTGGGGCGTAGGGTCTTATGAGTTTTGTGTCACTACATGTGCTTTGTGATTCTATGGGGTGTTGCAAGTTTTTTCATTGCTTTGTCCTTATAAGGTTCCTGTGATTTGGATACTCCTACTACGAGAATTCTACAAGGGTTCTGTACGCGGGTTAAAGTTTTAGAAGTTGGGTTTCAGGTTCTAATATAGGGGCCTTAACAATTAGAATAGGGTTTGGGCCCATTATGCTATAGTTCTAATAAGGAGCCCCCAAAATAGTATTGGTAATTATTTTAGGCTCGTACATTTGGGTCTTAAGGTTCTGGGCTTCGGCCCGGCACGCTCAAAGGAACCCCTTAAAGGAACCCTAAACCCTAAACCCTAAATCCTAAACCCCTAAACCCTGAACCCCCCCAAAAAAAGAGCCCTTAAGAGGAACCCGACAGTGCTTCAGAGCTCCAAATTCGGGAAGTCCATCCTGGAAGTTTTAACGTCGCAAACAGAAGTAGGATCCTTACAAGAAGACGGCAAGGCTGCGTGCCAGAGCCCTCAACCTGACTAAAGGGTAATCTTTGGGAGTATATGGAGGCTAAAGTACCTCAAAAAGCCCAACAGTTACCTACTCTACTACCAAAGATCCATTCAACAAAAAATTGAAACCTCAAAGGCTAAAGGTTACTTACTCCACTAAGAAATCCAGAGCCTAAATCTTTGGGGACGGATCCAAAGCATGACAGCTCTCGTCAAACGGACTCGACCTGAATAGCAGCCTGGGGTTTTTGTCGGTTTAAATTCGGGTTTAGGGTTTAAGGCTTGGGGGCTAAATTAGGGTTTAGGGTTTCGGGTTTGGGGTCGATTATACTGTAGCTATAATGCTGTGACATTCGCCTGAGGGCACGGCTATTGGCAGGCGGGACAGGATCAACAGTCCTCCATCCTCAGGCATTGGTGCATTTTTTGCCGGGGTGTGAGATAGACCTGGCCGTGGGTGTGTGTTCATGTGGGACATGGGATTGTGTGGTGGGGTTGCTCCAAAAGGATCGTTGCTTTAATCTTCGAACCTTACATCATCAGAATGTATTTGCAGACCCTAAACCCGCAAACACTGGAGTCAAACCCTCTCCCTCCCCTTCCCTCCCCTCCCCAATCCGTTCAGTGTTTGAGGTGTAATTACAAGCTGGAAGTACACCCTGCAAAAGGCCACCTAAAGTAGAAGAGTAGAAGCGGCGTCGATAATTAGAAAATGGCTTGGGGCCTGTAGCCTGTACTAAACCTATATAGGGACAAATAAGAATTATAAAAGGGGAAAGGATCAATAACTATTCAGACCTCCATATTGACCAAGTAGCGTCTACCGGGAAACGAAATCATAAGCTTTTCAAGCCTGTTGGCCTCCATCCTGGCGTTTAGGCTCCTGAGACAGAAACATCTGCAATCCCAAGGCGTCAGAAACAACACCTTGTGAACCCAGTAGGAATCTAAGCCAAACAATAAGTCATAAGCCACCCTAAACCCTTGCGCTGTCTTACAGGAACCCGAAACATAATCTAAAGCCCTAAACACTGACTATTCAAGAGGCGAGCATCGACAATGAATCGTGGCCGGACACCGGTGGAGGAGCGGTATGAGTCCTTCTGTTCAGAGATTTGGGATTTGGGGTTTGGGCTTAGAGTTGAAGGATTTCGTTTTTTTTTTTTAATTTAAGGCTTTATTAGATCGAGGGCTTCCATTCCACTGCCTCAGACGGCATGCCCGATACTCGGCCATACCCCAAACTTCGATCCTTACAGCCAAGGCAATCTTGCTTCTGGCTAGAACTGCTACCATTACTACCACTCTTGTGCTCACTATGTTTACAAGTCTTTAAATTATACAATATACGTATATATATATATATGTATATTTATTTATTTATTTATATTTATATATAAGAATGCTGAGTACTTCTACTTGCATGTTGTGGATTGCTCAAACCTCATCCCAGACATCTGAAGAACCGGTCCGATCGGCCTTGAGACCGAATCGCTTCGCCACGTTGATCAGCCAATCACGTCTCCTAAACGAACTCAATTTTAGGGTTTAGGGTTTACAGCTTGCTCCTTTAAGGTCCTTGTCTCCCTGCAGCTCCGTGTGCTAGGGTTTGGGGATTGGGGCGATGAGGGTTTAGGATTGGAGAACATGGTGTGGGGCTTGGAATTTTGAAGCAGAGCTGGCTTAAGATGGCGTTAAACAGACAGTGTTTTCTTGTTGGCGGTATCCCTAACAGACCTGCTCCAAACGAAGGTGTCCAGCAGGTGGCAGAAACGGTGCTAGAAAGATTTATTTGCAATCCCGTCAAAGGCACACTGAGTGGAAGAATGCCCTGACGCCTTCATGATATATAGGCCAAGTCTCTGTGAAAATGCGCCGTACACCTCCTGCAAGCACAAGAGGTCGTACCTGTCGCTGCGTCATGAGAGAGTGTCCACATCATGAGAGTATCCACATGCTCCTCGCGTCTCAGCTATCCTTCAATTCAGGCACAACAAAGCTAGAGAGGTGACACCGACCAAACCCTCGGCAAAGGAAGCCGAACTGCGTCTGGTCTGCATACGGGGTTGAGGGTAGCGAAGGTCTGAGGTTACCAGATTCCAGATGGGTAGTTGTCAAAATGATGGTCCCTTTTGGGGCACCCTAAATACTAGGTGCCGTATTATAATAAGGACCCAAAAAGGGACCCTAATTTTGACAACCACCCAGATGGCATCAGCCCGAGACGCCTTGCCAGGTGCTCGACGAAGCGACAGAGGCGCTCGTCCTGCAAAAGAAGGTCGACGCTTCCACAGGCTCAGGGTTTAGGGCTTTTAGGGTTTATAGGGCTTAGGAGTTTAGGGTTTTTAGGGTTTAGGTTTAGGGTTTAGGGGTTTAGGGCTTTTAGGGTTTAGGGCTTTTAGGGTTTAAGGTTTAGGTGTCTGTGAACGTGTGGGATGACTAGGATACCCAGTGTTGACAGCTGCAGTCGTCTATCATCTTTTCCCTATATAAGCCCGAAACCTCAAAAAGAACTTTCAGATAAGGATCTCGAAGAACGGACCTGGCCCAACTTCAGAACTTAAGTTCTCTTAAGTGACCAGAGGACCTGTCATATCAGCATCCCCTAGAAGGGGCAGGATCCAATTTCAGAACTGACGCTGCCCTCCGTGAGTTAACCACCCAACCACCAATCCACGGGCCGTAATACTTAAACAGAGTTTTGTTGGAAATCGCAGTATACGCTAAGTATCGAAGGCCTCCAAGGAGATACGGTTACTAATCATTCCGCTCTCTCTCTCTCTCTCTCCAGGGCATGGGGGACGGTCAATCTCTCTCTCTCTCTCTCTTTCTCTCGCTCTCTCTTCAAAAACCCTAAACCCTAAATATAAATAAACAACACATACATTAAAACCCAAAGGCTCCATGCACCTAAAAAGTAGATAGCCCCAAAGTACCTAGATAGGAAAACCTTTCAGGACAGTTGTGCATACTATATAGGCACATGGAACCTTAAACCGGAAACCCCATGCCCTTGTCGTACACTGAAAGGAACCCTTAAAGGCACCCATATAGGTCTAATCCCTAACCCCTAAACCCTGAAATAACCCTAAGCCACTCCTAAACCGATGGAGTTTTAAGGAAACTCCCTGTAAACCCTAAACCCTTACTTGGAGGATCATGGGACTTAGTAAGTAAGGTTATAAGTCCCCTATTTGGGGTTATAAGTATACTTACCTTAGTTATAACCCTACTTACTAAGTCCCATGATCCTTTAAGTAAACCCTAGTCCCTAAACCCTAAACCCTAAACCCTACTTACTAAGTCCCATGATCCTTTAAGTAAACCCTAAGCCCTAAAGCCTAAACCCTAAACCCTACTTACTAAGTCCCATGATCCTTTAAGTAAACCCTAATCCCTAAACCCTA